TGGGCTCGCCGAAGACGCCATTGTACTGTGTATGTTATCGTCCCTTTATTGTCCCTGTACCCGCAATAAACCAGCTGTCTCCCAGTCCAGTGTAGAGCTTGTAGTTACGGCTGATAACCTGTCAAGAGACGGCAAGGTGACGTCCCGTGGGACGCTGTGCACCGAACCCTCAAGCTTTAATACCAACCACGTGGAAAGGTGTATACGGACGATGCCGTTATAGCCGAACCCGTGTAAACGTTGTAAGGAAGAAGGAATAATAGATACACCAGCAGTCCTGACAAATGCAGCGCAGGCTGTTGTTTTCACTCTTGATGCCCGTCACGTCTGTTCGCAGTCACACATCAGATCTTGAACCTCAATTGTGTCTTGAGCCAAATGGCGATCAATGGAACTTGGGAAGCAACACCAACAAGGACCTCAGAACAGCTACCCAATTTCGGCACGGGGCCTAGAGGGTTTTAACAGGACCTGTGTACTGCAATTTGGGAAACCATGACAGGGCATTGAGGCCAGGAATCTCTGCATCCAGGGCCTGGCAGTGAAGAGTTTGGTCTGGGAAGCTGCTCTGCAAGTCTAGCAGAGTAGCTGCAGGCCCACAGGTCAAAGAAGCCACCCCGCACCTGAGGGAAAAGCTCGGGGGGCTTATCCCAGCACACGCTACTCTTTCGACCCCACACCTCCTCATGCAAGCCAGCGCGGACATGCGAAAAACCCACTTCGGAAAATAGTCACCGTGGAGCGGCAGAGGTGTGTTCAAAGGTAAGGATTCTCGAAATAGTGCAAATTTTTGGTCGTACTCTTCCAGGGTTGTGGGAGGGGATTGGAGGACATGGTGCAGCCTGTCTGCGGGGCCCACTAGGTCTTGCAACCTGGCCATAGTGTCTTGCACATCGTCATTGAGAATGTACTTGCTGGTTGCGCCCGGGAAATCCAGCTGCAGCTGCTTCGCCTGTGATGATGTCGCCGATGGCTTCCTGGTGCCGGACGGGTGCCGGCAGAAATTAAATGACCGCCCTGCCCCCCCCAGAGTTACAATCAAGGCACTGTATGACTCGTAGGCTTTGCAACATGGCCAGGAAACCCAACAGGCGAAGCACACCTGCCTGGGCAGTGTTGGCTCTCCAAACTGAACAATCCACAGCTTGCATTGCAATAGCGGCTTGCCGAAGAATTGTGCACAGCAGCCTCAATCGCGCTTCCACCCTCCGGGCGCGCTCCTCACCAGAAGTGGGTCCCCAAATGCGCCTGCGCTTGGGTTTCTGGTCCCCAGGTCCGCACCCTAGCTCAGAATGGAGGCTGCCTCCTGTGCTTGGTGGTGCCATCAAATCTTCAGGATGGAGGCTGCCTCCTGTACTTGGTGGCACCATGGTCCCCAAGTCCCCAGCCCTGGCATTTGTGCTGATGGCAATGCGCCACAGCTTCAACAGTGTCGACATCCAGTGTTCATTTTTCCCCCAGAAGAAGAGAATGCGAAGGAGTGGCTCTTTCGCTAGTTGCTTCGCGTGGGATTGCTCCACCCGCACTGCAGCTGCCAAGTCATCAGGCAAATCCCAACCAACTCGAGCGTACAGCTCGCCGAAAAACAACTGGCCATACTTCATGATTGCGCTGGATGGCACCTGCAAGGTGTGGTTGACACCAAACCAAAATGGCTGGAAGCGACCGTCAATTTCCACTCCCGCGCCTGAAGCTTAGCTGGTTCGGAGCCACAGGACTGGCGCAGTGATGCGAGAGCTGCTTTCTCGGAGTCGTGCTGGCCAAGCCTGAGCTTTGAGCTTGAGATTGAGATTCCTTCCTGGGGCACTTGCAGTTCCTGGTTTAAGTTTGTTTTTTCCGGGGGCTCTCCAAAAGACAACTCCAAGTGGCACTACACCGCACTTGTCAACAGCCAAGTACTTCCCAGAAGGCAGCAAGCGCACCCCATCATATCGCAAGTGTAGGAAGTGCTCTCCAGCGAGCACTGGCGGGCTGAGCTGATTCAGGGGCACAAAAAGCAAGTTTTCCGGGCTGGCCTGTGAAACCCGATATCCGTTTGTAATCAGGGCTGCAGGAACCGTCTTGCCATTGCTTGTTCTCACAAGAGCTGCGCTCTGAAGCTCAAAGTCCTCCGCCTGTAGCCCCTTGCCAAGGACATGCTGGCAGACCCGCAGCAACTCTGCGAGGGCCTCACCCTCTGTGGGCCAAGAGGACTGGACTTTAAGGGTGTCTAGCACGGCCTGGAGCCCCTCCAGCTGAGGAAATTTCACTTGCCAACGGGGCATAGTTTTCCCCGCTGACGTCTTCCAGAATGCTGGGTAAACATAATGGTATTGTCGCGACTGCTGTGGCATGGGGGCACAGGGCAGGGGCCGACGGGCTGCCGCAAACTGCTGCAGAGACAGTGGAGCGAATTCCAAAGATACCGATCCAGCCGTGCGCAGTCAAGCTATTGTGCTCCAATTTCGCTCCAGCCATCGTGCCTGCTCCAAGGCGCCCGACGTCCAGCTGCCAGGCCCACAGACCTCGGGCCGATTGGGTTGGGAGTTGGTCCTGGCTGGTGTCAGCAAACCCGCGCCGCTTGAATTAGGGCGCCAAACAAATGAATTCTCAGGATTTGCTGTGGCAAAAATGGCCCCCAGGATGGCTAAGCAAATCCGCATGACGCCCAAGTTGAGGTTGGCACCCGGCACCTGGCGCCAAACGAATGAATTCTCAGGACTCTTGTGCCGCCCTGGCGCCAAAAAAAAGAATTCTCAGGATGGCTGTGACCCGGCACCTGGCACCAAACCAATGAATTCTCAGGATTAACGCGGCCACCCTAGCACCATGGCTAAACAATCCTCATGACACCCAAACCCAAATCAGGGCTGGCGCCTGGCACCCTGGAACCAAACAAATGAATTCTCAGGGGCCGCCCTTGCACACAAAAAAAGAATTCTCAGGAGCTCCCAAAAATGGCTGCCCGAAGTACATGTGGCTGTCTTGACAAAAAATGAATTCTCAGGGATGGCTGTGGCCACCAAGCTCTTTTGGCTTCTCCGGATTTCCAGGGTCCCAAAACTCACAGTGAAGGCACCGCTGCCCTGAAAAATGAATTCTCACCTGGCACCCTGAGTTGGGGTGTCAGCCCTGTCGGCGGCCTAGCCCCAGAAATTGAGTTCTCAGGGTGGGTGTGGCACTGCTCCTGGAGAAACACACTTGGCTGATGCCTCGACTCAGGCTAGAGAAGAGCAGGACCACCGAGTGTGCGCGTGTGGTTGCGCGAGGGGGATTGCCTGGGGAGTGCGAGGGGGTCGCGTGGGGATGGCGCGAGACAAAAAAAGAAGACAGGCAAGGTGCGCCAGGGGGTGCGTCAGGGTGCGTCAGGGTGCGTCAGGGGGGGTGCGTCATCATCAGGAAGTGCGTCCATGGGGTGCGTCAGGGGGTGCGTCATCATCAGGAAGCGCGTCCATGGGGTGCGTCAGGGGGTGCGTCAGGGGGTGCGTCAGGCGCGTGCGCCCGACGCAGGGCGCGCCCGACGTCGGGCGCGCGTCGGGCACGTCGGGCGTCGGGTGCGACTGGCTCCTGCGAGAAAGAAACCCATTGCCATGAGAATTCAATTTCTGGACCCATGGCCAATCCTGAGAATTCACTTTGGTTCAGCGTTTGACGGATTTGCCACGGCACGTCTTGAGAACTCATGCTCGATGCCATGCCCTAACATGAGTCAGAATCCGCATTGGCCACTGGTACAGACAGACTGTGTTTCCTCGAAGAATGGTCAAGGATGGACGTGTATACAAACAAGTAACACACGTGCGCCAACATCACACCGGATGATGAAGGATGGACGCATGTACATACCAATAACAAACGCACACAGATCACAAAGAATGGTGAAGGATAGCAAAACACATATACCAGTAACCCTACCAACGGTCATGTTATGACTGTAGAGGGTAAGCCCATGTTTCTCTGGTAGACCTTTCTTGTCAATTTTCAGGCAGACTAGCAGCGGTGTGGGAATGCTTTCCCGATGTGGTGTGCCATGAGCCATGCCCCAAAAGTAGTCACGAATTTAACACTTGAATGCCTAGTGAGAGATCCAATTCCACTCGCAGTGCAAGGGGCACTCATGCTGGGGAATGGAGGACGTCTAATGATCCCCTGTCCGAGCAGAATGTATCGACTTGAGCAACGACCCGTCCGGTGCCTCCCCAGCCGGCCCAGGTGCGGTGGCTGGCAGCGCTGTCTTCCCAGCCTGGCATGTCACGGGTTGCTTGCTATGCTGGCAGCAGGACTGGCAACAATGCTCTAATCATTTGACATGTGACAGTGTGCAGGAGCTCCCGTTTTGCACGCGGTTTCAAATCTGCAGCAGCCGGCGTGGTGAGGCATGCCTCTACACAAAAAGAAGCCGCTCTGTCGGGCTGTGCGAAACAGATGCCCTGCTGTGTGAGGTGTCCTCACGTCCGTCCCCAGGTGCGAAAAAGCTTTGCTGTGTGAGGTGCCCTCACATCCTCACACCCTCTCCCGCTCCACTGTGTCGACCCAAGATGCTGTGCGGCCGGTTTTGTAGGCCTTGAAGACCTGCGCGCATGTGCGCGCCTCCTCAGCCAGGGTTGGGTGAGTCTCCTCTGTTTTCTTCTCCCTTCAAACACTTGTTTCCTCTAACTGGCCACTGTCCGCCCAGGATTGTGCTGCAACCCAGTCCTGAACCATTGCAGCTGCGCGCTTGAAAGGGACACCTGTGCCAGCCATGATGGCGACCGCGGCGCCCAGGGCTGAGCGGTGGCGCCCCTTCTTGCAATGAAAAAGCACAGTGTGCCCAGCAGCCACTGCAGTGTTGAGGGCTGGCAGCACCTTCTCATCGAAAGCGCGCTTCGCGACTGGCGCGTGCCCGATGTTCCACCTGAGCCACACGTTGCAAGTGCGTTGAGCTGTTGGCCTTACTGGGAAAAACTCAAGGAAAATGATCCTTTTTGGTTTGTTGGTGGATGGGTGGATGGATGGATGGGTGGGGGGTCAGGCGGAGGCACTGGATCCGCTGGATGTTCTTGTCCAGCTGATGGCGAGGCATGTGGTCCAAGCACACAATCACCAGCCGCACGTTGTGCTTACGGAGTTCCTGCAAGTCGGAGCTGGCAGCTAGGCCGCCCACGAGGAAGCGGGCGCCGCTGCGGTGGTCCCAGACTGTAGTCGGCAGCACCTTTCGCAGCTGCTCAAACATGATCGTCAACTATAATGAGACGCACTCATAGGGGACACAAGGGCTTGAAAGCTTGAGTTTCAACTTGCCTGCCTCGTCGTGCGTCTCCTGCGCCCATGCGTCGAACTGCTGGGTGGAGTCAGCAGCTCCTTTATGGGTGTGGTCCCCACCATCCCCAGCAGCTTCTGCGCGGGTGTGGTCCCCACTGTCCCCAGCATCTGTGTGGGCGTGGTCCCCACCATCCCCACCATCTCCTCCGCGGTGGTCCCTGCGGGCGTGGTCCCCACCATCCCCACCATCTTCTGCGCGGTGGTCCCCACCACCTCCTCTGTGGGCGTGGTCCCGGTTGTCCCCACTGTCCCCACCGTCCCCACGACCATCACTGTCAGGTCGAGCCCAGCTACGGCCCCCATCACGAGACCGTGCAGCTTGTTGACGCTCCCCTGAGTTGCATGAGCTATGTCCAACATTTACAATTCTTGTGAGTCTGAAGGAATCGTTCTCCTTTGCTTTACACAAGTTTTTCACCTAGTTGTAGGTTGCCGTGTGTAGTTGACTTTTGCCCAGGGATCCCTACCACCCCCCACAACCTTGCCAAAGGCACATTGCGACGGGCGCCGAGCATTGTGCCGCAACTCCCTGGCAGAGCGAGGGGCCAGTCCTTGCTGGGCACGTCGCCGATTGACCTCGTTGACGTGGTCCCAGGACAGATATCTCAGACTCTGAGGCTGCCTCAGAGATGGCTGGCGGTGATGCCTGCGTGGGCTGCGCGGCCTGCGTGACTCGCTGCGGCGCCGTCGGGATCTGCGAGGGCTCCTCACAGTCTGGGCTGGGAAAAGAGCTGATTTTTGCAAAAACACATTTTTCTGTTCTTTCTGTGTGATGCCCCACCTGGACCGGCCACGCGAGCTGGAGCTGCGGCCCATGTTGCACGCGTCCCATAGCTCCAAGAACAACTGCAAACGTTCGGCGCGAGGCATGGCAATGGTCTCACGCGCAGTCCGAGCCCTGCTTGAGTAGGAAGATGCCACCAGCTCACATGTACAAGTGAGACATGGGGACATGTGGCAAGGAATGCAAAAATGAACCGCAAGCCGTTAAAGTCTTGCCTGCCCTCATCCTAGCGCAAGCGTGCCAGGCTCGCCTGGTCAACTTCTCCACGCTGATGAAGAAGAGTGCGAAGTTTCAGCAAGACTCGCGACTGCCTGACCTTCCCTGAACCCTCAAGTGGCAGCCCTCCACGCCCAAGTATTGAGTCAAGTTTCTTAGGTCGTGTCCTCGAACCCCCTAATCACGTTTTTTAGGCAGTGTCCTCACATCCCCCAAGAATATACTCGCGTTTTTTAGGCAGTGTCCTTGAGTCCCCACAGAATATATTCATGTGGTTTGAGAGTTTATTCACGTTTTTTTAAGTAGTGTTCTCGGATCCCCAAAGAATTTATCCACTTGTCTTAGGCAGTGTCCTCGACTCCCCCAAGAGTTTATTGACGTTGGCAGGCAGTGTCCTAAAATCCTACACGTTTTTTAGGTAAAAACCTGGAATCTTAGTTGGCAAGTCCTGAATCTTAGTTGGCACGTCTTTGGTTTACATGTTTGAAGGACCTGTCACCGGCAATATCCCGGAGGTCCTGGACAACGGAGAGGTGACTGACGGCACGCACGTCACCGCAGGGCAGCTGGCCCTGGCTCTCACCCCGTACGCTCAAGTAACGGACCTGGCGGTGAACACGGCAGCCGCCGGCAACAACGCGGCGGCCATCCAGTCCCTGGACGACAGAGTCACCGCAGAGCTGGCGTCAAAGCTGGACAGCAGCGCGCTGGCGCCGGCGATTGCGCCTCTTGCCACGGCGGCGGCCCTGGCCACCACGGACGGGCAGGTGGCCGCGCACGGAAGCAGCATCGCCGCGCTGCAGAGCTCGCTGACCACGGGCCTCTCCAACAAGGCAGACCAGTCGGCCTTCGACGTGCTGGAGGGCGTGGTGGCCACCAAGAGCACCCCGGACGGCGTGGACCTGAAGCTGTCCAACTACAGCACCACGGCGGCCATGAACGGTTCCATCGCCTCGGCCAACAACGCCACGCTGGCCACGGTGGCCGCCAACAACGGCCTCAAGACGGTGGTGGACCAGCACTCCCTGGACATAGCGGCGAGGATCACGCCGCTGGAGGTGGACACCAAGGTGGCCAACGCTCTCCTGGGGGCCGTCACCGCCGCGGCGCTGGCCTCCGAGCTCGCGAGCCGAGACGCCTCCATCTCGGGGCTGCAGGCCTCCAAGGCGGACGCCAGCGCCCTGACCGCTTACGCCCTGCAGTCGGCCGTGGACACTTCCTCGGAGGTGGACTCTAAGATAGCGACGGCCCTCTTGGACGCCGTCACCACGGCAGCCCTGGACGCCGCCCTCCTCGGCAAGGCGGACGCAAGCGCGCTGGCCTCCCTGCTCTCCACGGTGGACGGGTTGGACACGCCGCTGGAGGTAGACACCAAGATAGCAAATGCCCTGCTGGGTCTCGCCACCGAGGCCTTCGTCGCAGCGCAGCTTGCTAGCCGGGACGCCAGCCTCACGGCGCTCCAGGGGGCCAAGGCCGACGCGACGCTGCTGGCCTCATACGCCACGAACGCCGCGCTCTCGGCCAGCGAGACCACGCTCCAGAGCGCCCTTGACGCAATCCTCGCGGAGCTCGCCGCCCTGCAGCTTTCCGGCAGCGGCGGAGTTGTTAACGCGCCGGCCTGGGCGGGCTTCACGACTTGGGAGCTCTTCGCGGAAGTAACGTCGTTCGCAACCTGCATTTCGTGGCTCCTCTCTCTGCTGCGCTTGCCAACGGCGACGACACGCTGAGCATCACGGCAGACTGCTACTCCACGGCGGGCACTGACGCCGCCATAACAGCAGCCTTGCTGGCCTACTACACCTCCTCACACGTGGACACTCTGTTGGGAGACTACCGAACCGGAACGGCGCAGGACGCGGAGACGACCAGCGCCATCACGGCCGCGCTGCTGGCCTACTACACCGCGGCGCAAGTGGACGCGTTGTTGGGAGACTACCGCACGGCGAGCGCGCAGGACACGCAGACGCAGGCCGCCATCACGGGCGCGCTGCTGGCCTACCGGACGGGCCCGGACCAGGACGTCTTCACAACTAACCAAATCACCTCGGCGCTGGTGGCGTACCGCTCAGCCGCAGACCAGGACACGGCGACGGCCTCAAGCATCGCCGCCGCGCTGCTCAGCTACTACACAATCGCACAAGTGGACGGTTTGTTGGCCAACACGCTCGGAGTCACGGAGGCGGCCTCGGCGCTGCAGATAGCAGTGCGCTTTCCGGACGACGGAGGGGCCGATGAGGTGGTGGCCGCCATAGGAGAGCAGATCCTGGCCCCCACGGACGTCTCGCTGTCAAACAGGACGGTTCGCCCCAGCAGCGGCTGCAGCGTGGTCCTGGCCACGCACACCGCGGGAGTGAGCGTGGACGGCTACACCCTGACCCTGGCGGTGAACCCGTGGAACATCGTGCGCACCTACAACTTGACGCCCGGGCGAGAGCTGCTCTTCGCCTGCCGCTACCGGCTCGGCACGGCCTCCAACTTCGTGGTGCACATGTCCGAGGCCGACAACGTCTACGACCCGTTGTACGGCAGCTTCGCGGGCGACCAGGCCGCCTGGAGCACGGCCAAGATGTACTTCACAGTGCCGCCAAACGGAGTTGCGAAGCTGCACTTCGGTG